GAAGACTCTAGCATGGATTCTGAGGAAGATGTGCGAATGGAAGGTGTTGACCCACCGCATGACCGTTGTTACAACAAATTTACAAATAATACTGGTATTCAATTTTTTTTATAGGATAAGGGTGACAAACGAGCACACAGTCCGCCTGATGAAAAGTGGTTGCTGCGGCCCATAGACATCTACATTTATCCTCTATTACAAATCAAAATGCAGATGCGTTATCACCCGTGAGGACTAAGATGGAATGCCTCATTTCCAGTAAAAAGGGCCTCCGGCCATCTGCACTCACCAAGCGAAACGCAGAGCTAAACCTCTACTTCACGCTGGCATTCAGTGAGGTCGTGGTACCCACCCCAGTTCGAGCCGGCCCATCCGTGCGACAGCAAGAACTGCCGCGTGGCTCTATCACTGTTAAAATATTTACACGGTTTTCATGGACTTTTTATTTCGTTCTTAAACCTTATAATGCTATTTCAGTTCTGTTTCAAAATACCTTTTGAAATAAATTGATTATAGACAAAATATCAGTGTTCATTAATCTTAGTAATACTCATTTCTTACAAGCATATAACACATTCCTGTTATTATGTAAAAAAAATTGGGAGTTAAATTTGACCAACTTCTCGGTTTTCAATGGAGCTGCAATTTTGCATATATGTACGTTTAATTTAGAAGACAATGCATGGTTAACAAGTAATGTCATTCTAAATCCAATATGGCAGACTCCCAAAGCTGGAGGACTAGTTATTTTTTATGCGTTCCCATGATATGGGTATCAAATAAAAGGGTATGCTGAGAAGAATATCAAAAATAAAAGTGAAGCGTGTTTTTTATTTTGGTCTCCAACTCGCTCGCATAAATTAAACATTTTCAAATGATTCTTAAGCAATAATTTATATTAACGTAAGTATTACCCTAGAAACTTTGTAGTGAACTGTTAAAGTTACGAAAGTTAGAATCAAGAAATATATTTATTATATATTTCTTAAATATTTATTATTATAGATTTCTTAAACAATAAATACAGGGTTTAAAATTATTAGGTTTTTGTAAGTTTAAGCTGAACACTACAGTTTTTCTTAAACCGAGCTTTGGTAAACAGTTCGATCGTTTATGTAATTTGATATAATTATATAATTCTAGTAATAAGATAAAATTAAGGAAAAATATTGGTTAAGCTGGCAACATTAAGTACGCCATCAGTCGCGCGCAGAGTTATCATGCGCGCACTATACTCGTATTCCACCTTGTGTGTTGTTTTGTTTTATCCATATAAACTAATTTTATTTGAAAATGGATTTATCTTTGAAAAAAAAGCGTACGCACAGAAATATAGAATTTTTTACGTGGTAGAACCATGCTGCAGCTATATTAGTAGTATAGTTGTAGCATGAATGGGTCGCCTCGACTGGGGAAGGACCACGCTCTCACAGAAAAACTGTGTAAAATAGCAGCTCAACGCTGCTGTGTTTCGTATGGTGAGTGTAGAGAACCGGAGACCCTTTTTACTGGAAAAGAGGCATTACATCTTAGTCTTCACGGGTGACAACGCATCTGCATCTTGAGAGTTTATTGAGGATAGATGGAGATGTCTATGGGTCACAGTAACCACTTACCATCAGGTGGACTGTGTGCTCGTTTGTCATCCTATCATATAAAAAAAAATATAGACCGAAGTGGGAAAATATGGACGAATTTAAAGGTTGGTTGAGATTCATAACTCTGAACTCAATCCTGTGCATTAGTAACTCCCTCAGGAAAAGTGTTAAATACTGCTATAAACGTGTTTTGTCTAAAGATGTACTGTATAAAATGGGCACCGCCGAAAAATATTCGGAATTAACGACGAAAGACACTGAACCCCAAATATCGACATCTTCTTCTTTGATTGATTAACTTTAAAGTTATTTTTTTATTCAAAAACGTACATTCACGAGCAATAATATGTAAAGAACATAGAACTTTGTCACGTTAAGCGTTCCGAAACAAAACTATTTGTGCTACAAAAGTCGACAATAAATATAATATAATATAGTCCTTATTTTTAACTCTCTTGTTGGAAATTAAAAATGATTGTCAGAAATTGACATTTTATTATAATCTACCTACGTAACCATGGAAATACATGTACTTCGTACAAACTGGAACCCGCACTTTCGAAAGACATAAAAAATACAAGAGAACGACCTTGGAATTTTTCATTACCCCTCGGTCTCTTTCTAATTAGGGTGAAGACAAAATACAAGAATTTGGGATATTATGGGGAAAAATCAGTTTATTTTTATTATATTCATTTATAAAATTTTAATTTAATTGAAAATAGTAGAGTTCCATTGAAACGCATGATATTAGAGAAATTCATAAGGTCGAGCCTGCGGGCGGAAGTTTATTAATTAATATTATTTATTCGTGTACTTTTTTGTCAATAAACGAATAAACGAGTGAACTGGGTCACTCGTTTAATTACATTTAATTACAGTTATATTACAAAACTTTAACTAAAACTAAAATATTTTTGTTCGAAAATGAACAAAAATTCGATTTCCCATACAAAATGTATCGGTCACGTGACCAATTTTGTATGGGAAGTCAGTTTTTTTTAATTTCCACAAAGAAAATTCTTCAGTACCTTACTCAGGATGATGATTCATGGTTAAAGTTTTCAGGAGACTGTCTTTACATCTCTTATAATGTAACATTAGGAAATAATAAAACTAAAATAATAATCGTTTTTATTTACATTTATTATTACAATAGCAAGTGTCTACAAATTTAAAATATACAATAATAATAATTAGAGGTGAAGGTTTTTACAACAACTCAATTTTTATGCATGATTGAATAGTTTTGTGAAGTTTTTGTCACTTGGTACGAATAGCACTCAACTTTTAGTCCATAATTTTTTTTAGATGCGTTCTGAGACACATGTTCAAAAAACTAAAGTCAGAACCAAAATCACAATTGAACTTTAAAAAACTGAAACACTGATAAAATTTAGACATAATATGTAGTTAACAATTTAATAGACCACCAAACCATGCCGATATAATTAAAATGTCATTACTATTTTGGTTTTTTTTATAGGATAAGGGTGACAAACGAGCACACAGTCCACCTGATGGTAATTGGTTGCTGTGACCCATAGATCATCTACATTTATCCTCGATTACGAATCAAAATGCAGATGCGTTGTCACCCGTGAGGACTAAGATGGAATGCCTCGTTTCCAGTAAAAAGGGTCTCCGGTTCTCTACACTCACCATATGAAACACAGCAGCATTAAGCTGCTATTTTACGCTGGTATTCTGTGAGAGCGTGGTCCTTCCCCGGTCGAGCTGATCCATTCGTGTTACAACTATACCAGAATTATAGTTGCAGCATGGCTCTACTATGTATAATTTGTCATGAACACTTTATTTTTCAATTTGTCACACTTATCGTACAATTTATCAAAAAAATGGATTTCCTGAGACCGCAATTTGAAATTTTAAAAATTAAATACAATTAAAAACTTAACAAAATATGTACAAAATAGCTTGTAATTATTTTTACAAATTATAGCCTAGTGATATAACATATCTAGCTGTTCCTGCTTTCTAGGTAACAGAATGCATTTTTCTTTCTTTCTCAAAAATTTTTGTCTGCAATTTTTTTTAAATTACTTTTCTTCCCTTGGAAACAAAACATCGCTTTGAATTAAGAAATAACAAGTACCTAACAAAAGCTCATACCTGTACCACAGAACAATCTGCTATTTCATTTAGAAACGGTGTGACTCCTTGTCTCAGCGGTTTCACAGTAATCATGTAATTGCTTGATATCAAATAGATTACAAATCTTTGCTTTTTCTAAAAAGGCTATTTTTAGCTCCACATTGTTTAACCATTTATTAGGTTCTGTTAGATTGGAAGGAAACCTGCAAAAAATTAAGTAATAAAAGATATATAATTATTTTAATTTTGATGTTTCTGTGTATCATCATTCTTGTAAACAACATTTCGAAATTTCACGCAAATCGAGCAGAGAGACCATTCGAGAAAACCTTTTCCGTTTGTAATTAAAATAAAATACATTACAATGTATGGTCACCCTTGTCGAAGTTATAATACAAACATGAATCGTTAATTATTAAGCAAATAGCGAAATAAAATTGGAAAACCGAACCAAAATTAACATCTTAACCAAAATACCCATTGGTCTATACAGAAATAACAGCAATTAAATTCGAAATATCACTAAAAATTAGTTTCACATGACGCGCAGTATTTGCATGGTGTTTTGTACTTACGAATGAAATATAATATTACATTCTGGATGCCACTCACTTTTGCAACCGCGCACAATACATTTAATGACCATTTTACTAGTTTTGCCACTGCATTATTCCAAAATTCAAAAACAAACTTGCGAAATGAACATAAACATCCGTCATGTACAGTAAAAATTATTTGACAAATAGATTTTGGGTTGTCATATAACGGCTTTTAAGAATAAATTTAAAACAGGGGAAATATGTAGGAAGGTAGGCAAATAGTTCATAGTAAATCTTTATTAAGTGTTTAAAAGAAAAAGCAAAAACTTGCGTGAAAATCGTTTTGTCAATTTTTGTTATCAGTTTTTACTTATAATTCTTGCCATACTGACAATTAAACTTATACTGAAATTCATAATGGCTGTCAATGGGGTAATATCAGTCATCACGCTGGCTATCCTGTAGGGAAAACAGGGGCTACTCAAGGTCATTTGATTATTCCTATTGTTGATATTAGGAGTGTGGGTTCCAGTTTGTCTATACTTCCGTGTACGTAACTGTATCATTTCGTATCATTTAGCTACTTCTCGCAACTTTTTGGGGTAAAAAAAGCTGGAAAACTAGTAACATTTTGAAAAATGTCTAGCAACTGAGTAAAGCTAGCAGTTGGCAACACTGCTGATCTACTTTCTTCTAGTTAGTCTGTGGTTTCTGCGCGCGCATGTCACGCTTGATCGTATAAATTTTCGAATTTTACACTTCGCAGAATAATGGCTTCGGCTACAAATTCAAAGCACCCGCAAGTTAACGGGGAAGTAACATCTAATTCGTTTAAAAAATATAAAATGGACAATCAAAATAAAGTGACTGTTGTTTTGGGTGCTCAGTGGGGTGATGAAGGAAAGGGAAAAGTGGTGGATTTATTAGCTGTTAACGCCGACATCGTGTGCCGCTGCCAGGTTATAATTTTTGGTTTAATAAGTCTAAATAAATATAAAATATGTAAAAAAGATAATATTTTTGCAGAGATATTTATGAATTTGTTTATAAATTTTATTTACTTATAATCTATTAAGAGGTTGAAGTTATAGGAATATTTACTAGTATTTTATTGTTATGATTTATTTAGCAGTTACTTAAAATTAAAACCCAATAAATTCGTTACAAAACTATTGTTCTAGTTAAACAAACAATTGGCACTTCGCCAGTTTGTTTGAAAACATGCGAACATTGTTTTTGTATGAATTCATTTTAATTGCCAAGATTTCTACCGGGAATTTGCGTTAGTATGGTACATGGTAGATCCCTTACGTAACAATAATCATGCACATGCTGTGGTAGGTTTATTTTTCAGTCATGTGATCAACACCGATCGTACGTCACTCATAAATCTCATGATACAAAACTGTAATTGTGGATTACTGCCAAGGTCTGGGGCATTTATTGCCATAGTTACGTTAGTGGCGTCGAGTAATTTGAATACTTTTTTGTTGGCCTCTGGAACTGTACCTAATTATAAAATATTATACTAAACAAAATGGCTTCAAATTCTTGGCTTTCACTAGATAATGCATTGCTTAGCTCTTATTTTGATAAAGGTGTCTTTATTAGTCTGTTTAAATACATACAATGAGTAGTATGTCTGCTATAAGGTTGACTGGCTGAGAATGCTTTTATCATTAATTCTGCCCTTTGATCCTGAACTGATGTGATGTTCGTTAAAGTAATAATAATATGCTCAGCAGCACTGGAATAATCTAATTATTCGAGCCATGAGATCTCCCCGAACAAAATCAACAGTACTTTCATGTTGCAAGCAACTTCGGGGAGTGATGTGTGCCTAAATGTTTAGCCCTGTATGCAGCAACCCGATGGAATGTGTAAGCAAATGAACTTATAACCTTAGATGTGATGGTTAAAAGGCATCCTTATTGGACATCACTTTTAGATATATAAATATAAAATTAACATCAATTTAAGTAATGCTTAAAATTCTTTCTCTTTTCACTTAGTGAAAATTGAAAAAAACAGATATAGAGATAATTTATACTTATTCTTAAGCAAGCTATAATGTCTGGTTATCCATACAGCCATAAATTATTAATGAAAAGTTCTATACAAGCACAAAAATTAATATTTTTGTTAGTATGTACACATAGTAAATTGTTACTTTAAATTTTGTTGTATATATAAATACAGTACAATATACATTTACATTGTGGGTTTACATATATCATACATATAAAAATTTATAACATTAGTGTATAAAAATTATATCCAGCATGTTTTATTACAAAAAGTAGTTTATTGGTAGTCTAAACCTATGGTTTAAGAAGTCTTCCAACTAAAGAAGTATATTGGCTGCAACCCCATAGTCTTTGCATAAATCGTCAAATTCAAAATCAACTTTCAATTTACACACCTTACATTTTAGTTTCCATATTTCCACTCAACTTCTTTATTGAATCTTTGTATTTAAAACCTGAGGCAAATTATAAAATACTTTTTTAATAAGGCTGATGCTGTTTAAGAACCTTCAAACAAATTTAAACAAAGAAAGTTGGTATAGTATAGAGTATTATTTCTATATTAGGAATGTGCACACCAAGTTTGTCTTTTTAATATATTTTCCTGAATGGAATAAGTAATACCTTTGTACAAACTAACATTATAATTAATTCCATGTATTTTTGTGTGTACATAAATAAATGAAAAGGCTACTTCTGTCACCCCTGGTGACTAAAATTAGATGCCATATAGTTTGTTATTACTTACTTTGATGCCCAGTTTCTAAGCATTAGAAACAGACAAAAGAGTACTCACACACGGGAGAGTACATTTTAAGTGGACTTGAGGCAGAAAGCGAGTTAGACCTTCTGCTCTTGTAATGTACTTTTTAAAGGACTTCAAAAAAAGGAGAAGGTACTAAATTCGACTGTGAATGTTTTTTTATGTGTGTACCTCAGAACTTTTTTCTAGGTGATCCGATTTTAATGATTCTTTTTTATTTGAAAGCTGGTGCTTCGCACATAGTCCCATATAAATTTGATCAAGATCTCACCAGTAGTTTTAGAGTTATCCTTAATAATGCGTATTTAATTTACTTTGACTACATTGATGATGTTCTCATTTTATTTATATTGAAGTTGGTTGTTCAAACTTTTTTTATTTTACCACCTGTTTAAAAATAAAAACACAATAGCATAAAATTTCCAACGTTTAGAAATTTTATGCTATTGTGTTAACAAATTAATTGAAAATATGTCATGATGTTTTACTAAATGATTAATATCTGGATTGAACTGCATTATACTACAACATGATAATAAATGACCACTTGTAATTGTGTCTATACTGGATATAATCAGTTCTTGCTGTTTGTCTTATGAATAATATGGAATGTAATTCTTTAAAAAAAAATTAATGCCCAAGAAGAGTATGTTGGTACTAGTATTTTAGGGAGTTGTGCAGCAGTCTCTGAAGATGAACAGCTTCTATGGCATAAGTGATGTAACATCCTTACCTCTGCTTCTGCTTCTCCGTCTGTGGAAGTTTTTGAAATAACACTTCTTTGGAATCGTTGTGATTTGAAACTTGGTGAAAGGAAAAAGCGATAAACATATACATCTATTATGTATAGATTTACCATGCGAGAGATTAGATAGAATATAGTGTAGACTGCAAACTGAAAAGGTTGTGGGTTCGAATCCTTCACTCGACTACTGTCTTTTTTGTCTGTTTATTTTACGTGCCACCTCGAGACAATCAATTTTTCTTACGAATTCGATATTCTAAAATAAATATCAATATATATCAATATATCGCGATTAAAAATATCTACGATATATATCGATATTTTTATAAGAAAATATGGATATATGGATGTGTAAAAATGGTTTGAAAAATCGCACAAATTGAGGCGAAATTTGTTCCAGAGGCTATTGCTTCAAACAATATTAAGTGTTCTCCTTTTTGTAGAAGGCGACCGTAAAAAATTTCCGAAGGATACCTATTATTAATTCATTCATAGCAGCCTACTACAGTTCACTACTGAACATTGGTCACCCCATAGATTGCCTCATAAGGGGAAAATTTGCCATAGTTGCCACGGTTGCAACTGCAGTTTTTTTGGTCTAGTTGTTATTAGGAAAAAGCTGCTGCCCATCTCAAGGAAAGTAAAGGTTTTTTTTGTAGGATAAGGGTGACAAGCGAGCACACAGTCCACCTGATGGTAAGTGGTCCCTGTGGCCCATAGACATCTACATCTATACTTGTTTGCGAATCAAAATGCAGATGCGTTGACAGCCGTGAGTACAATGATGGAATGCCTATTTTCCAGTAAAAAGCATATCCGGTTCTCTACACTCACCATACGAAATACAACAGCATTAAGCTGCTATTTTACGCTGGTACTCAGTGAAAGAGTGGTCCTTGCCCGGTCGAGCTGATCCGTTCGTGCTACAACTATACAATTAATAAAGCTGCAGCATAGCTTTACAACGTGCAAGAAGGAATTATAACTCCGATTCATGGTAGTATTACCTCTAGTGACAATTTCCTTGCCAAGCGTGTCGAATATGGTAAATTCTCTTACAATAGAAGAGGCCCTTGTTTAGCAATGAACGTTTATGGCGTAATAAAAAAGGCAGTAAAAATTTTACAAAAACTGTGTTGACATGGTTAAATTGAAATACGAAAAAATTTTACTATTTAATTGCTAATAATAGCCCAACCTTCTTCGAGATCGAAATAGATGTTCCTATAAGTATATAAAATAAAAGACGAATTGGAGAGAGAGGTTTTTAAAATCTCCATCCACCACATGACTAAAAGTCGTCTATGTCGAATAGGGGGCAAACGAGCATGCGGCTTACCTGATGGTAAGTGACTACCGCCGACCATGAACAACCGCAACACCAGGGGAATTGCAGATGCGTTGCCGGCCTTTTAGAAAGGTGTAAGCTCTTTTCTTAAAGGTTCCTAAGTCGTATCGGTCCGGAAAAATCGCTGGTGGTAATCGATTCCACAATGAAGTTGTGAGAGGGAGAGGAGAGAACTTCTAAATCGCACAGTGGTGGACCGCCAATCATACAGATGGTATGGATGGTAACGCGAGTTTTGTCGCGATGTGCAATGGTGAAATTGAACGGTTGGCATTAGTAGTTAGCACTCCCCGTGTTAGATGCGATAAAATACGCAAAGAGATGCAACATCTCAACGCAGTGCCAGTGTTTCGAGCCGATCAGAAAGAACTCGGTCGTCGACGATTCGAACCGCTCTGCGCTGGATGCGGTCAAGTGGAAGGAGCTGGCACTGGGGTGCCCCGGCCCAGAGATGAGAACAGTATTCCACGTGAGGCCGAACTTGCGCTTTGTAAAGTTGCAAGCGATGTGCCGGCGTGAAATACTGGTCTTATAGCGATATACCATATGTATGCTGCCTACCCCTCTGGGTGACAGGCGTGACTGTTTATATATATATAAACATTATATATGTAAACATTATGTATATAAACACACGCCTGTCACCTAGAGGGGTAGGCAGAGACTATGGACTTTCATTTGGCACGATTCTGACACACCTCTCGCCTCCTCCACGTCCATATACCTACGCATACACGCTCGTCGATTAAGGGTACTCTTAATTTGGCCCATTTTCATACCATATCCATGTACATAAGCCGTTAAACACCCAAACAGGTGTCAGGCTACAGCGCCAAAGGTGGGAGAGTTCTGGTACTGCGGTCGTCAATCCGCCAAGCGTGACTATTAAGGCAAGTTTTCCCTGCAACGGCAGAAACCTATGCCCAGGGGGCCTTTCCTGGCTGACGGAGATGTACATATAAATACACAAAGAGGTGCGTAAGCTGGAGAAACTAAGCGAATGAGAAAATCGCTTAAAATCGTATTCTGCAGTCGCGTCAGGAACTAAATCAAAACAAGTGCTATAATTAAAGATT